GGCCTCTATTTCTCCGTCAAAAGCGGATCTTTTGTGTCCCTTCTGCTGTGTAGAAAGTGAAGAGTTCAGAGTAGACACCTGTACTAATGTTTGCTTGGTTTTCTATGTATGACCCATCAGTGAAGAGTGCACCAACGTTGGGAAGAGTTCAGAATAGACACCTGCACCAACGTTTCCTTGGCTTTCCCAGTGAAGACTTGGAGCCATTGATCTGCAGGATAGTTGACCTTGATTGTCTTGTGATTTCCTGAAAAATGAGTTTGCAGCCTCAACAGTGCAGACTAGCCATTGATCTGCAGAATAGTTGACATTGATTGTCTCAATTGATTGTCTCAAGGGCCTGTGGGAGCGCATTTGCTCTGGAGGAGTGTTTGATTTCCTGAAGACCGAGCAGTTGGGTGCGTGAGGGGATCTCCAGTATAGTTAACATTGATTGTCTCAAGGGCCAGTAAGTTTTGCAGCATCAGCAGTGAAGACTTGGAGCCATTGATCTGCAGGATAGTTGACCCGCGCATTTGCTCTAGGGGTGTTTGATTTCCTGAAGAAGTCAAGCAGTTGGGTGAGATGTTTGATTTCCTGAAGAAGTCGAGCAGTTGGGTGCGATTTCCTGAAGAAGTCGAGCAGTTGGGTGCAACACACTACATCCTGAAGAAGTCGAGCAGTTGGGTGCGACACTACATCAACTGAGGGGAGCGCATTTGCTCTGGAGGAGTGTTTGATTTCCTGAAGACGGAGTTTTGCAGCCTCAACAGTGCAGACTTATATATGACCCGCAGTGAAGACTTGGAGCCATTGATCTGCAGGATAGTTGACCTTGATTGTCTTGTGATTTCCTGAAAAATGAGCGCATTTGCTCTGGAGGAGTGTTTGATTTCCTGAAGACCGAGCAGTTGGGTGCGTGAGGGGATCTCCAGTATAGTTAACATTGATTGTCTCAAGGGCCAGTAAGTTTTGCAGCATCAGTGAAGACTTGGAGCCATTGATCTCCAGGATAGTTCCAGCAGTGAAGACTTGGAGCCATTGATCTGCAGGATAGTTGACCCTAGGGGTGTTTGATTTCCTGAAGAAGTCAAGCAGTTGGGTGATGAGGGGAGCGCATTTGCTCTGGAGGAGTGTTTGATTTCCTGAAGACGGGCGCATTTGCTCTAGGGGTGTTTGATTTCCTGAAGAAGTCAAGCAGTTGGGTGAGATGTTTGATTTCCTGAAGAAGTCGAGCAGTTGGGTGCGATTTTCCTGAAGAAGTCGAGCAGTTGGGTGCGACACACTACAGCAATGTCTGCTAATGGGTGAATTTCTAAATTTAGCAAGACCTTCTAGTTAAGCTGGGTATCGGTTGGCAAGAAAATCGGTGTTCCGCAAACTTCAATTAACTTGTAACACGTTCACCTATCTTCTCAAGCACAAGTATTGATTTCATTAATTGATCGTGTTTTTGGCCTCATGTGTCTACTTTCCTCCCAATATTCATGCAATGGGTTTGTTTACTGCGTTCATACTTTAACAATCACTATTTTAGTCTATACGTATCTACAAAGAGATTAAAGTGAATTAAAAAGCACTTTATTAGCAGTGTTTTCTATGGCAAGGAAAACATATTTACAATTTCTATTTATGAAAAAAAAACACAATTAAAATCCATCGACAGATAATGGAGGGATCGACATCAACTTATCATACGGTCTTAGTTCGTTTCATTTCTGGATTCGGGTAGTTCATATTCCAAAATTCGAATTTCTTCATTCTTCACTTGAATTACTGAAGGAATTATGGCCCCATTATTCAGTGCTTTTTGGTCTACGAGTGAATTAGTCCACTCTATAACTGACCTCTTCTATTCCACGCATATCAATAGTTTCCACCATTGTCGTGAATAATTCAATTAAAAGATTTTTCCCCATCACTTCTGTGATAACTTTGACTCCTTTGCATATCAATTATGTGAATTAATTTGATTTTCTGAAATGAGCACATACAATTAATTTAGAGGGGCATGAGAAATGAATGGGGAGTCGGAATCCATGAACACGCATATATTAGCTCAGCCAGTCAGCCTCCGAGTAGCATCACCAATTGCCCACGTGTATATGTGTACATATGATTTTTTGGAAGGCTGGAGAGGGGGGGAGTGATGGCCAAGGGAGATAATGCTAATGCTGGTCACGGTCACTCACGCGCAGCTGTGAGCTTTCCATTCTCCTGTGCGCATTACCGCACAAACGCACACATGCACGTACGCACAAACCAATCGATAGATGTGCGCGAAAGCAAACTCCTAGCCACGTGGGCGTCCACAATTAAGTATAGAGGCTGAATGGGAGAAGCTATTGTGAGCTATTCATGAATAACGCAAAATTCAGTGATAGAGGGTTTCATTTGCAAATAAACCAGCAAATGATTTAATTAAAAATTCATTTAGCTATGTCCGTCCTACTGTGATTCATGATTGACTTTAGCCAAATTTTCACCTCCAATTCATCATGACTCATGATAATTGTAATTTCCAAATATTCTCGCTAGGCGAATGATAAAAGTGTTTCGAGAACTGAGTAAGAAATTGACTTTATTATTCAAAGCTATGCTCAAATCCTTGTGTAAGTCACATTTTAATTCAAGAAATTTATTTATTTATATCAAATGGCAGGCGTTTTGATAGTTATCATTAGCCCCTTTGTTGACTTCAGGCTTCACAGATGGGAAGGAGCATCAAAGTGAAAAAGGTCGAGATGGGGGGGACAGAAGAGTGTTTCAAAGATGTAAAAGAGACAAACACAAAGTTGGAAAAAAGGTGAGGTGAGTACGGTTGAAGTAGTCGAATTTGACATACAGTGGGGTGATGGTAGTTTGGAGTCTGAAGTCAACTGCCGGTTAATAGACTTTTTGCCGTATGAGTATAAGTTGCCCACGTGGAGGTAAGTCTATCGCACACCCCTAATTCAAGAAATAGATGGAGCTTTCACAACCATATATGCATTGCATCTTCCAGGTCTATACTAACAGATTCTTGAAGTGTTGTCCATTGTATATTTTAAAAA